AGGTGGTTAGATAAATATATGTATGTGGTCGATGGAGGCCACTACAGTGGTTTTATTGTTCTGCTGTGCAGCAGCAGCAGGAATATATTGAGGTTAGGTGTCCTCCTGAGTCAATTTTATTGTATTATTTTTTTGTAGTTCTTTTATTTAATGCACGTTTGAAAAATTAACAAAAACCAAATTAGGAAAATTGATGTATTGTTTTATTTTTTGTTTAAAATATTTTCATTTATAAGTTTCATCGTTGTTTCAAATTTTCTGTTCGCTATATGATACTCTTTTGTTCCACATTTGATACAAATATCAGAAAATTTGGAACAACGATGAAACTTATAAATGAAAATATTTTAAATAAAATAAAACAATAAATCAATTTTCCTCATTTGTTTTTTGTTAATTTTTCAAAAGTGCATTAAATAAACGAACTACAAAAAAATAATACAATAAAATTGACCTAACCTCCATATGTTCCTGCTGCTGCTGCACAGCAGAGCAATAATACCACGCAATTGCATTCGTAAAAAAACTTATATTTTTTAATTTTAATTTAGTTTTATTAATAAAATAAAAACAAAAATAATGAGCCGTCATTAGGTGTAAAAAATAGAAATGTTTTTTAAAGCGGGTCGACCTTTATGTGTTTGTATATATTGGTACCGCTGTGCAGCGGTATACGCGTATTCAAGCATACTTTCCGCTGAGTAATTGAAATATAATATTTATTTTTTCACATAATTCGTCACGACATTAATTTTTTATCTTTTTTATTCACATTTCATATTGTTTTTTTTTTTATAATAAATAAATCCCGTACAAAATTCAATACAATAACTGTCAAGTGTAGTTTTGTTAAGAGGGATTGATAAGTTTCTCGCGTGGTCCACCTGTCAAATCGCTGTCGTCGACTTGTTCGGGGACTTGTACTTGACGGATTTGTATTGGGTGTTAATATCACTATAAGAGCATTTTTTGTTATAAAAATCACTAAATGAAATAAAGTTAACTGGTTCATATTAAGTGTAATCAGTCATTCTATTCGGTAAATCAAAAAGAGGCGCTACGCGCGTGTTGTACTTTGGTATATGATAACTGAGACTATCTGAAATATATGTTGATTTAACATCACCGCTAATAATTTCAAAGATAAACAATATTTGCGAAATTCTTCGTCTCTCTTCTAGTGTAATCATTTGCAGTAATAACAGTCTATGTTCATATTCTGGTAATTGATAGCTGATCCATTTCATCCTTCTTAGAAATTGTTTTTGTATTGGTTAAATTTTATCGCACATATTGTAATAATGGAGGTTCCAAACTCGTGCCCCATATTCGATGATTGGCAGAACGAAAGCGAAATATAGGCGTTTTATTGTCCAAGGATCGACAAAATCTTTACTGAAGAATTTTAACCAAGCCAAACGTGACTTGGCTTTTGCTGTAATGAACTCAATGTGAGATTTGAAATTCATTTTCTCATCAAGCAGCACTCCCAAATCCTTCATTATATTGACTCTCTCAATATCTTCGCCGTTTATATTGTATCTGAAATCATACTGCAGTGATTGTCGATGATATGTTATCATTTTTGACTTGTTGACATTTAATTTCAATAAGTTTCGTTGATAGTTTACATATATTGATGTTAATTCATACTAATACACATTCTAAACGATTTTAGCCTGTTTTTTTTTTTCATTCCATCGCGACGTTGAATTTTAATGAAACTTAAAGTTAAGGGGTACTTCGAAAGTTGATTTTTAATTGTCAGAAGAATTATAATATCCACTGATGCAAAACTGTCAATACTAATAGATGTCGCTACTTGTATTGTATATTGGAAGTATTCCATTCAATTGTGTCAAAATCTTGCTGTCACCATCTAAATATGAACAATACGATGAATATTAAATCCGTAAAGCACTTTTAAACCCGGAAATAATTTAAAAATATCATCCTGACTAATCATACTTTTATATAGTAATTTTATGTGTTTTTTATTGAACATAAATTTTCTTCAATTTGACTCCAGACAATAAAATAATTGTGATTTTACCCATAATTTCAAATGAAATTCAATAAATGTTAAGTCATAAAGATTGGCGTAAAAATGCAAAAAAAATGCAACGCAAAAGGCGAAGATGCTTGTATGCAATCAAAAGGAATGAACGTAAATATATTTATTTTAAACATTTAAAAAGCTTAATATTACTTATACAGTGTTCTAATAATAGTAATTTTTATTTTCAAATTACAAAGAAAAACAACAACAATCGCTAACATATCAAGTTAATGAAGTGGTAAAATTTGTTCAACTTCAGAAAATTGAACGGATGAATGAAATAGAACACGAAAAATGGGTTGAATCTGAGATAAGAATAGAAAAAGAATGGCAAGTCAAGAAACGTAGATTAGACGAAATTGCTGAAATGAAAGAAGTTGAACGTAAAAAAATGCTAGACGAATATAAATCCGAACAAAAACTAATCGCACAAGCTAAAGAGAAGAAAGAGCGTCTACTTGAAGAAAAGACACGGCGTCAACTTGATTTGAAAATTCGAATCCGTGCTTATATTGAGGGCATGGATGATGAACCACCACTCGAACTATTAGATACAGCCGAAACAAACCCTGGCAAAGAGTTGTGTCATTTTTTTTTGAAAACAGCATCATGCCGTTTCGGAAACCAGTGTTTAAGGAATCATAAACGACCGAAAATTAGCAAAACACTTCTCATAGAGTCATTTTTTACAAATATTTATTTTGAACAAACTGCACCTACTGAATATGGTAACGACGGCTTGTTGCTGACATCATATTTCATCAAAAATTATTTCACATATATTGATTATTTGCAACTATTTCCTTTTACTCACCAATTGTTTTTTGATTCGTTGTTTTGTGATTCTCTTCTTAGGTAACGACATCACACTTGAATGCGATGACAATGAAATCTACGAATTATATAAGGAGTTTTTCATTGACGTTCTACCTGAATTCGAGAATTTCGGTAGTATTAAATATTTTGTAGTGTGTTCCAATTACCAGCCACATCTTCGTGGCTCTGTTTTGATTGAGTACATTCATGATAGGTATATCAAATATTGATTTTGGAAAATAAATAATTTACAATTCATGAATATTACGTTTGCTTTTCAGAGATGCCTTAAGAGCTCAACAGTTTATGAATGGTGGATATTATACCTCCAACTTAAATCTCCTATATTTTTCTATTATTTTTGTTCATTTGCAGGTAGATATTATGCCGGTCGGATGTTGAACATTGAATTTCGTAAGATCTTATGGTGGTCAGCGATATGTGGTAGGTCACATCGGAGAGTTGACCTATAAATTCGAAGCTATATTTGTATCCTTTATAATAATTCTATTGAATTTTACCAATATGAATATAATTGAAATTTTTGAAACTATATTAACCTTAACTGTCACGAATCAATATTATAAAATAGGCTTGTCAATGAAGAATGTCTGCCAAAAAGGACGTAACTGCAGCTTCCTTCATACTTTCAAAAATCCTGGAGGTCGATATTTAATCAGCGAAGCAGATTTGAAGCCACCCAACGCATCCAGAAGTCATCGAAGCATATCGGTCCGCGATGATGATAATGACAGGTATTTTTTGAGCTATCTGCTTTTTTGGGTTTTTCTTATGTTTTTTCTTTATTGTTTTAATAGTTGGAATTTCAATGATGAACAAACCAAGAGAAATTGGAGGTGGTCTGAAAGTCCTACCAGAGAGTAATCCACGTGTGAATAAAATCACCATTGTCTGTGAACTGTGAATATAAACCTTATATATACATTTGTATATTCAAAACGTTGCAGAAATTCTCTCCTTTTTACTTTGAGTTCATACTGACGCAATGAAGCAACGTTCCGAAATTACAAATGTAAGGTTTATATTCACAGTTCACAGAAAATATATCTACCAACTATTTTCGTCACAAAATTGAAATCAGAAATGTTGTGTTTGAAATTTTGGTTTCGTCACTCGTTCTTCACCTCGATAGAGGTTTTTTATTTGATATCAATAGTTTTGTAAGCGCTATTTTCAATGTTAAAGATTCAAGAAACATGAATTTGAATCTTTTTCAAATACAATGAAAATATAGGTTATTTTTGGATCAAAATCATATAAACTGTGGTTCATAATGGGGGAAAGTGGTTTTTTCTGTGGTGTGTGGTATGCATAATGCATATTTTTTTTATCTTTGACTTGGGGCTTAAATTGATGAAGTTTTCAAGAGAACATATGCAGTCTTTTTCGACAAAATGCCCGTTATGAGTGCGGCCAACGGTCAGTTTTTTTGTTTTTTTGCCAATTTGGCCACCCCCACATGAAATTTTTCGCAATTGGCACCACTCGAGAGCTTACTTTAAGACCTTTCGAACGAATATGCATATGTCCTGGTTATGTCAAGTCTAGGTCCCACAGCGTATGAAATAATGGCTATTTTTGCATGACCTTTTTTTGCATAGTTTGCCATTTATACTAAGGTTTGTAGATTTCTTTTAATTTCATTTGTGACTAACCGCATGCACCTCTCCCGACGATAGTCCACCTTCTGACCTGGTGGGAGAGGACATAAAATTCGGTATTTTATCGATCTTATGCGGGGAGACTATCAAACATGTAGTTATTTGTTGTTAAAATTTCATATTTTATACATCTAGACATTTTTGTGGCATAGCCATCCAAAACGGTCGATATTTTGTTCGATTTTGTTTGGCTAGTCACAGAGCATATCTACAGAGTCATTGGAGTACATTTTGGCCCATAAAATACTTCAAATGTTAAAAGTAACATTTTTTGTCATTTTTGGCCATTTTTGGCCATATTCGCACTACCGAAGGTCATATCTTGTAAACAAGAATTGAACGCTCTAGAATAAAAACAACTTATTGTTTACTCGCATATCGAAACGCGACTCAAAACGGTTGCATATCAAAGCGAGACAATATTTCGTTACCAAAGGAATAAAGAACATTGACTTTTTATTATACAAAATGTGTAAGTTTCATTTTGTGCTGATAACTAGCTACTGTTCTGCCTTGTTTTAGTAACAGAATTTTGTTTCGCTTTGATATGCGACGCAGCTTAACAGTATAAATATTTCACACTCTCGAAGGCTCGGTATAGAACACACAAAAAGTGAAAAAAAAACTTCTTATTCTCAAATTTAATAAACAATCAAATGGATTGTATCAGCAATTTTTATTGCGCAGTTGTGTGTCAATAGAACGTTGTTTGTAAACACAATGCCATGCATTGAGAAATAACATGTAAGGGTGAGTTAGATAGCATTGAACAACGATTTGGGTGACAGAAATAGCTAATTTTTACAATCAGTCGCACCAGATGATATAGGCCATTTAGTTGTGCATGAAAATTGAGAAAAGAAATCAGACTTTTTTTTCACTTTTTATGCTCTATACCGACTCTCCGAGAGTTTCATATAAACTCGCCTTTCAATAGCCAAATGACGCCTATTGATTCAATCACGATTGGTATTCGCTTACAATTAGGCATCACATAGCAAGTTTATATGAAACTCTCGGAGACTCGGTATAGAGCACTCAAACAGTGAAAAAAGTCCAGATCGTGATTTAGATGATATGGAATGCGATTTTTTTCATTCTGATTTCATCAGGTGATATAGAAAATTGAGTAGTATTTGAGAATTGAAGAAAACAATTTTAATTATTTTTTTTTTCATTTTTCGCCAATTTTTACCATCTATTTGGGAAGCTTGTATGAAAAACACGGAAGACCGCTGAAATGGCACTGTCGTACGTCCGCACATATTTTCATACACCACAGTCCGGCAGTAATTTTGAAAGCTATTAAAAACGTGTCGTTTTTCTAACGAATTACTGTAATATCCTCGAGTAATCTACACGTTACAAAATACGTTTTATAATTGTAATTTAAATAAGAAAAACGAGATTACATCGCCAGATTACATGACGTCACAATTTGCATATTTTTTATGTGAGTGCGTTCATACCTCGAGACAGAACAAGTGTCACGAAACTGAAAGTGACAGTTGATATCGCATTGTTTTCATTTGTGAAAAGCCGGCATTGTATGAAGTAAAACAATTTATTTAAAGTTCAACAATTCAGTTTTGTCTCGAGATAAACAAAATAAATGTATTAAGTGGAATAAAATATTTGTGGAGAACTATTTAAAATGTCCAATTGAATTTCAATCAATTATTCTTTTTATTTTGTTACTTTTTTTTCATTCAATAGTCACGTTCTATTATTGGTGTTATTGACATTGTGCGTACAACAATTCAGTTTTGTCTCGAGATAAACAAAATAAATGTAAGTGGAATAAAATATTTGTGGTGAACTATTTAAAATGTCCAATTGAATTTCAATCAATTTTTCCTCGATAATTTCATCTTATTTTTTCATTACTATTGAAGCATTCATAATAAATGGAATGGAACAGAACGATGTAATGGAGTGTATATAACGAAGTTTGCATCAACAATGGTCAATAAAACGATGGAATGAAAATCTTTATAATTGAAAAAAGCAGACCCCCCTTTTTGTGGGCATTTGATTCGAACATGTTTGCCGTCAATTGCACCACAACAGTTAGGAAAATTCCATTTCTGCTCAAAATCCATGATGATTTTTTTGAATGTGACTTCCGTCTGTGTTGGAATTGCTTTCTCAAGAAAATGTCTGATTATTGAATTGAGACACTTCTCTACAATGCGTCCAATAGTGGAATGATGAACACGGTATTGGAAGGCTAAGGAACGGAAACTTTCACCTGGTTTAAAGTTATAATAGAAACAATCAAAAACATATTTTCATAGAAAATAATCACATTTTTAACCTGTTGCTAACCAGTAAAGTGCACAAAGTGTTACTAAAAGTTTTTAATTTCACCTATATGGATCGATGTAAATTGCCGAAAAAATAAATTTGTGAAAATAGGGGGTGTCCAATCGAAGTGGGGGGGGCAGGGGAGTACCCCACCATGTCAAAATTTGTTCGGATCAAAAAATAATGTACTACAAAGTTGTTCAGAATGACGAGAGAAATTTTTTATGACCCCTGCCCTCCAAGTCCCCCCACCCCCCAGGGGGGTCGGGGGTCATAACTCCTTCAGCCATGATTTTTTTCACGCGAAACCCCGAAATTCGGAATCAGCATGCAAAAATACCCTAGAAATGATATTCGTATCGTGCCCATTCACCCCACGTCTCCCAACAATTTAAAGCCCCCCCATTGGGGTAAAATGATGAAAAGTCGATTTTTCACTTTTTGGGTGCGAAATTTCGCAATCAAATGTATGGTCAACTATAGCTAATTTTAGTCGCACATTTCATTTAGGCCATTGCCCATCCCCTCCCTTCACCCCCAAGGGGAGTCCCCCTGCAAAATTTTCGAAAATTTTGAAAAATACCCCGAAATTGGGTCCATACCCCATCTAACCCCAAAATTAATTACATATTCGGATTCCTCGTAAAAAATTACCTATAGGCCCCATACATTGCCAATCTCTCTTGACCTACAATTTACTACACCTAACTTGAACCTTCAATTCGGGTCGAAAAGTGAAAATACCCCATTTCATTGTGACTTCACAATGGAATATTCACCCCTTATGACTCAAATGGGCATACGTGATTCTCCCCATGAAAGTTACGCATACCAATGTAGTTTCCATTGGCATATTGTTTTGGCTGCCCTGAATGACCCAATTCGGGGGGCGGGGGTCAGAATAATATAAAAATGAACCCTTCGAACCTAGACCTCAGACACTTGCGTGATGAAATCGAAAAATTTGAAAAGACATGTATGCTCAGTTTTCCATCTACTTTCGAATAAAATCGGTCTCTGGCGATTTATCAAAAAGTGCGGAAAAAATTTGAGGCCAAACAAACATATCATTTCAAGAATTTCATGTTTTTTCGTAAGATTTTTTTACATGATCATATCTCGGGCACTTTCCGATCAATTACAACAAAACAAATTTAGTTATGAGTGCATGATGGATGAACCTATTTAACCATAAAAGGAAGGATAAAATTCCATCAACGGTTTCCTGCAAAATGCCAAAGTGTTACTACTTTTGTCCGATCTTTTTTTTTCTGATTTTCCTGATTCGATGAGAAGACCTACGAATGCAATCAATGTCAACTTACAGACAGCAGCATTGAATCCATAAAAATTATAACGATCAGTTAGCGTCGCTAGGCTTGACACAAATTTTAGGGCCTTGTTGTGCGTTCATAGCAAAATAGTAGTACGGAGGGAAGAAGCCTGAGTGAAGATTTTTATAAAAAAAAATATATTCCATATACAATTAATACATCCGGTTGATCAGTTTCTATATGTATTTAAATCAAATGATAGGAAAAAATTTCATTTTCAAAGTGATAACAAATACACATTTTAATATATCAACTGCTAATTTTCAATAAATTTTCATAATTTTTGATTTATTGGGTGCGAATGAATTTAAAAAAATGATGCATCAAGAAATTTCATAATAGCAAAAAAAAAAAAAAAAACAAAAAAGATTCTTTTCATAAAATAAATAAAAGCAACATCTTTTTAAATTTTGCAAATAATAGGAAAAAATGTCATTTTCAAAGTGATAACAAATACACATTTTAATATATCAACTGCTAATTTTCAATAAATTTTCATAATTT